GGTCTCCGCATATGCGGATGGCGTCCTGCTGACCCTTATGGAACCAGACAGACAGAGAACTCCTAGAACTATATAGTAGAGTATCAGAATACAAGGTAGACAAAATCTATGGCGCTACCGTTCAACCTCTTGGCAAAGGACACTGCACAGATCCACACCAAATCCACACCAAATTTCACCTGCACATATCCAGAGATACACTCCAATATCTAGAAGTACGGCTAACGTCGACCACACACAGCTATACCGATAAATCTATCCACCGCTGTTTAACACATGATCTGGTACCTGGTCTGGTACCTGGAGCGGTTGACGGATAAACCGATCTCATGGATCGGAAGACGGCAAACTGTAAAGATAAACGTACTTGGCATTCACCCTGTGAGCAGAAATGTTGGGTAGATATTGAATCACTACTACCTTCCCCAATTTTTTATATGGGTATCTAAAACCAGCAGGACATTTAAAACAACATGCCGGGCTAAACTAAATTCAGTCAGGATATGGGACTTGACTGCCTCCAAGTATCACCTTGGCAAGCTACCTTCCCCTATGACCCCAGTCCTCCGGAACAGGGCGTTCCCCCCAGGACTAAACGTACAGGACTTTATGGGAATTGAACGCATAGGTCTCCAGAGGTACAAACACCCTTATGTAGACAGCAAGATAGTTACTTATGACTGATTAAAAGAACTAGCCCCTCTTCGGATTAGGGACTTCTTCCGATACCTTCAGGTACACAACTTTGCTGCACGCAGTGGCCATGCCCTTTGACATTTTGAGAAAATGTGCTATCAAGAAAGGGCACAGAAGGGACTGATATCGCTGCTCTATAGTCACATTAGCACAGAATCCAACGAATGGGGGGGAACTGCGATACACGGACCAATGGGAGGCTGATCTGGGGGAACAACAGGAGGGGGTAAAGTGAGAGGATATTTGGGAAGCAAGCGCACAATCGGGGTAATGTTCCAAGAGCAAGCATATAAGACCCTTCTCCGGTGGAACACCACCCTGGTCAAACAATATCATATGAAGATAAGCCCCACAGATACATGCTGGAGGATGTGCAGGGAGAGAGGGAGTTACATACATATGTGGTGGCAATGCCCCAAAGTCATTGAAAACTGGGTAAAGGTGGTGGGGCTGAGCTCCCTGATCTTACAGAGGAACCTCACACTCGACCCCTGGGCCCGCCTTCTTTCCAGACCTACCGAGGGTTTCAACAGACATGAACAGAAACTACTTAATATGGTCTATCTGGCTGCCAGACGAGCCTTAGCTCAGAAATGGTTGAGTCCAGAGTTGCCCCCATTGCCTCTAGTTGTAGCCAAAATAAAAGATAACTATGTAATGGACAAACGGATGGCACACGTGTGACACCCACTCAAAACCTTTCAAAAGGTGTGGAACCTGTGGTAACAATATGTGGTCTAGGACGGTAGTGAGGGGTGGAACAAACGACACATGAGACACTACACCGGCTGGGGGGGCCCGGTGCCGCAGGTTGGAGAAGCACGGTTAGCGCTTAGAGAGTTCTGGGGAGTCCAGGCACTACGTTGCCCGGGGTCCCTCGGGGGGAGTCCAGTCAGGGTCACGGCTCACGCCAACAAAGGAGCCACGACGAGAGGAGGGTGTCCCTACACAGGGGGGGAGAGGAGGCCGGAAGGAGGAATAATGCCCGCCCCAAAGCCTAGATGCATCGTTGCATTACATCATACATTATTGTGTTTTATCTCATTTCATGTTTTTTATGTTCTTCTGTTACTCTTATGTTATAAGTCACTAAAATGTAAAACGCTGATGTAATGCATGCAGGTATGAAACGTTCAATGCACTAACAAATTGTCTTTTATTTTCTGTAAATACATTATATTTATTCTGTGACCTGACTTCTGCTTAAGCCTCTTTCTTCAAAATGTATCAGTGCAAAAATAAAGAATTAAAAAAAAAATAAAAAAAAGGTTACCTTTTCAACACCTTTTCGTTCTACAGGACAACTCGAGCCAGTATTGTTTTTTGTGGGATTATGCCACTGGGACATATTTTCAGGAGACATATCAGTCTGATTGCCACAATGGTCTTCGATTTCATCTTCAATATGTTCTTTATCTGAGGAATGAAATAACCAGTCATTTTTAAAAGACATTCCAATTTGGTAAATTTGTACGTTAGTGTGACTAAGCAATATATTGTTTATTTTCTTCAATGTTTTGGATAGTTTTTTTTCTTTTGCAACATCCTCTGACTCTGTAGGATGACCTAACAGATTACTGAAAATAAGCAGCTATGCAAGTTTCTTTTTGTCTACCTTTAGAGTAGAGATGTCAAAATCCACTCGGCTGTGTAAATCCATAACATTCACTCTGAGTTATAAACAACAGCTCCTCTATGAATTTTACATAAAATAGAGTGGTATCAATATATAGCCTTAAGATTAAAGTAAATAAATAGGTAAGAGATTGAAACACAATATGTGGATCTCTTAAACTAACGAAGAAGGGAAGGGAGTTCCACAGAAGAGGTGCAGCCCTGGAGAAGTCTTGAAGGCGAGCATCAGATGTGAGAGTACGGACACAGGATAGGCATAGGTCTTCTGCAGAGCACAGGGGCCTTGACGGGAAATATTTGTGTATTAGAGAGGAAGGTAGGTAGGAGCAGCATTATGTAGGGACTTGTAAGCAAGCACCAGAATCTTAAATTTAGCCCTATATCTAACTGGAAGCCAATGTAGGGACTGACAGACGGGTGAGGCATGGGAGGTGCGGGCGGACAGAAAAATGAGCCTCGCCACCGCATTCATTATAGATTGCAGCGGTGCAATCTGGGAACACGTAAGAACAGTGAGAAGGGGCTTGCAGTAGTCCAGGCGAGAAAGAACAACGGCATGGACCAACATCTTAGCTGCGTCTGGTGTTAAATAAGGGCGGATGCAAACTATGTTTTAGAGATGGAAGCTGGAAATGATGGGTGAAGGAGAGGTCGGAGTCAAAGAAAACACCTAGGCAGCGAGCATGCGAGGTAGAGGTGATGGTAGCACCGTTGACATGGAGGGAGACAGACACGGGAGTAGCAACACTTGAGGGAAGAAATACCAGAAGTTCTGTTTTTGACAGGTTGAGTTTAAGGAAGTGAGCAGCCATCCAGTTGGAAATTGGGAAGAGGCAGTCAGAGGCACGAGTTTATATGGGTGGAGAGGACAGGTAGATTTGTGTGTCATCTGCATATAAATGATAATGGAAGCCAAAGGAGCTGATGAGTTTACAAAGGGAGTAATAGATAGAGAACAGTAGGGGACCAAGGACAGAACGCCAACTGAAAGGGGTTGAAGATAAGAAGCCGAGCCAGAGAAAGTAGCACTGAAAAAGCGCTCGGAGAGGTAGGAGGAGCACCAGGAGAGAGCAGTATCCCATAGACAGAGATTACGGAGAATGAGAAGAAGCTTGTTGATGATTAAAAGGCAACAGAAAGATCAAGGAGAATTAGGATAGAGAGATTTAGCAGTGATTAAATCTATGGATACTTTGGTCACAGCTGTTTAAACAGAGTGATGAGCGGGGAATCTAGACTGATGCGAGTCAAGCAGAGAGTTGGATTTGAGGAAGTCTGTAAATCTCGCATACACAACTCTCTCAAGGATCTTGGAGGCAAATGGCAGTAGCGAATGGTGGAAAAAGTTGACCTACAATTGGAACTAGATAGGAGCTGGTGTTGGGTTTGCCAAAAGGCCCTTGTAAATGGGGAGTAGTATGTTAGGAATGATATGTCTAACTGGCAATTTTTGAGTTTATGATCAAATGTTGTAACCTGTAGAAAGTTGTGAAAATAATTACTCAAATCAGAATTGTCACAAAAAATAGCAGTTACCTCCTTGTTCACTTTCCCAGAAAAATACCACTGTAGCATTTGATGGGGTTAACAAAAATAAAAGCAGCAGAGGTAAATAAGGAACTTACTTACTTCTGACGCACATGTCATCTGATGATGCTTCAGGTGTGCTCATGGCATCCATGGAGACATATGCATACTAGGCATTTTCTTCAATAGTGCCATATGTGCATGGGTCGGGTTATATAATTTATATGACATGCCACTTGTGCAAAGTATTTAAATTAAAATAAAACTGAAACTAGTGAACTTTGTTGAAAAAATATATATAACGAGCAGTTAATGTGTAATTATCAATTTGGTTTGGCAAAAAAAAAAAAAAAAAAATCACTATTGCCAGTGCCTCTCTTACCTAGACTTCTAGGTTAAAGGGGTATTATGGCGTAGAAAGGCCATCTATGTTTTCTAGGAAACATACTTCACAATAATTATTACAGATGCAGTGGTTGTGGTGCCTGGAGTGCTCCCAATCAAAATAGTCAAACTTTTTACAAACGGGAAAGAAGTTTAAAAAAAAAAAAGTACACCATGTTTCACCACAACACTACAATAAGAAATAAGTTATGTTGCATAGACTGTTTCTTTAAATCCTATATGAAGCCTTGTACAATAATTTCATTATCTATTGTTTTTTCTTTAAGAACACAGTAGGAGTGTTTACCTGTAACTTTCCCACTATCATGTGTGTTTCCAAACTGAAGAGTAATGCATCCCTCATTCTAAAGAAAATTAAATACATATTAACTTTTAATACTGACTTTTAAAAAGAGAGATTAGTATGTATATTCAATTGCATATATGTATGGAATTATGCTAAACAAATATATATATGAAAAACAAAATAAGGTGCTCTTTGTCTTTAATACTATCTACTATAAACAAATGTTAAAAAGTGTATATACTTCTTATTTATACAATAAATTCCATTAAAGTGCATATATATTACTCTGTGCAAAAACAAAACAACTAAATAATAAAGTGCTGCAGCAATATTTGCAAACAATGCAGTGTAAAGTGCAACACTTTACTTACATATTAGCATTAGAGATGTCGCGAACCGTTCGCGAACTTCCCGCGAACGGCTCACCGCGGTTCGTGGCGAGCTCCGGTCAGCTGACACATCCCGGCCAATCTCCAGCAGACCCTCCCTCCCAGACCCTCCCACCTCCTGGACAGCAGCCATGTTGAAGGCAGCTTCAACATGGATGCTGTCCAGGAGGTTGGAGGGTCTGGGAGGGAGGGTCTGCTGGAGATTGGCAGGGATGTGTCAGCTGACCGGAGCTCGCCACGAGCCGTTCGCGGGAAGTTCGCGACATCTCTAATTAGCATATCCATAAAAAAACTGTCAGATTGCTCCAAATATGGAAACACGTACGAAAGAGAAGAGAAAACACATAAGGCAATATTGTAGGATAAAATATAAGTATTACTTTATAAGAGGAGGCACTTACAAGTGTAGAGCAGAGAAGCCTGCTCTAACTGATATGGCTTCAAGATGTTCCACTATGGACACAACTGTGGTAAAAGTGTACATTTTATCTTTATTGACATGTAGTTTAAAGGGACACTATAGTCACCCAGACCACTTCAGCTCAATGAAGTGGTCTGGGTGCCAGGTACCCCAGGTTTTAACCCTTCAGATGCAAACATAGCAGTTTCAGAGAAACTGCTATGTTTACATTTAGGGTTAATCCAGCCTCTAGTGCAGGGGTTCTCAACCCAGTCCTCAGGACCCCCTACCAGTCCAGGATTTGGGGATTACCTGGTGTGTCTCAGGTGTTTAGAAAAAGGGAAAAAAACACCTTAGACTCTAAGGTGTTTTTTTTTTCTTTTTCTAAACACCTTAGACACACCCAGGTAATCCCTAAACCCTGGACTGGTAGGGGGTCCTTAGGACTAACGTTGAGAACCCCTGCTCTAGTGGCTGTCTTCTGGACAGCCACTAAAGGCGCATCTGCGACGCTGGAGTCAAATTTCGCCTCCATCGTGCAGACCGTCCATAGGAAAGCATTGAGAAATGCGCATTCGGCTCCAGTGGCATTTGACGGGGGAGCTGACGTCGGACGGGGAGGAGAGGTCACCAGCGCCGAGGGAGCCCGGCGCTGGATTAAGGTAAGTGGCAGAAGGGGTTTTAAACCCTTCAGCGCCGCGGGAGGGGGACCCTGAGGGTGGGGGCACCCTCAGGGCACTATAGTGTCAGGAAAACCACTTTGTTTTCCTGACACTATAGTAATCCTTTAAAAGCAGAAAGCTGTCAGAGTTCCCTCTGTGCCTTTTTTACCACTCCGATATTGACCTTCCTGTGCCACCGCCGACTGTGGAATCAAGTCAGTGTACTCCGATCGTTTGGGGGCGTGGCTAAAACTGCGTGCATGCATATGACGTTAGAGCATGATGGCGCGTTTTGCTGGTATGCCGGCTTCCTCAGATCAGCCCTCACTTTGTCCACAGTCTTTATTGAAAGGAACACTACAGTCACCTAAACAACTTTAACTTAATGAAGCAGTTTTTGTGTATAGATCATGCCTCTCAGGTTTCACTGCTCAATTCACTGCCATTTAGGAGTTAAATCACTTTGTTTCTGTTTATGCAGCCCTTGTCACACCTCCCCTTGCTCTGATTGACATAGCCTGCATGAAAAAAAAAAAAAACTGGTTTCACTTTCAATCAGATGTAATTTACCTTAAAGGGAAACTCCAGTGCCAGGAAATCAATCCCTTTTCCTGGCACTGCAGGTCCCCTCTCCCTCCCACCCCCCAATCCCTGGTTGCTAAAGGGGTAAAAACCCCTTCAGTAACTTACCAGAGACAGGGACGATGTCCTACGTCGCCGCTTCGCCCTCAGCCGCCGCTCCTCCTAGTGATTGCGTCGGCCCGTGGGCGAGACTGATCCCGCCCACCGGCCGGGGAGACCTAATGCGCATGCGCGGCAATACTTTGTTTCTGTTTATGCAGCCCTTGTCACACCTCCCCTTGCTCTGATTGACACAGCCTGCATGAAAAAAAAAAAATGGTTTCACTTTCAGTCAGATGTAATTTACCTTAAAGGGAAACTCCAGTGCCAGGAAATCAGTTTTCCTGGCACTGCAGGTCCCCTCTCCCATCCCCCCCCAATCCCCGGTTGCTGAAAGGGTAAAAACCCCTTCAGTAACTTACCAGGGGAAGGGACGATGTCCTACGTCGCTGCTTCTCCTTCTGCCGCCGCTCCTCCTAGTGATTGCGTCGGCCCGTGGGCGAGACTGATCCCGCCCACCGGCCGGGGAGACCTAATGCGCATGCACGGCAATACCGCGCATGCGCATTAGCGCTCCCCATAGGAAAGCACTGAAAATGCATTTCAATGCTTTCCTATGGGGAAATGAGCAACGCTGGATGTCCTCACACAGCGTGAGGACGTCCAGCGACGCTCTAGCACAGGTTTCCTGTGCTTTGTTCCAGGAAGTGCCCTTTAGTGGCTGTCTAGTAGACAGCCACTAGAGGTGGAGTTAACCCTGCAAGGTAATTATTGGTAGTTTATTAAAAACTGCAATAATTACACTTCCAGGGTTAAGAGTAGTGGTAGCTGGCACCCAGACCACTCCAATCGACAGAAGTGGTCTGGGTGCCTGGAGTGTCCCTTTAAACAATTGTATCTCTTTCTCTGTAAATTGAAATTTAATCACATACAGGAGGCTCTTGCAGGGTCTAGCAAGCTATTAACATAGCAGGGGATAAGAAAATCTAAATTAAACAGAACGTGCAATAAAGGAAGGATAAATTGTATATGACTCTTTACATGTTTAGGGAGGCTGTGCAAGTCCCATGCAGGGAGGTGTGACTAGGGTTCATAAACAAAGTGATTTAACTCCAAAATGGCAGAGAATTGAACAGTGAGACCGCAGGGGCATTATCCTTACACCAAAACTGCTTCATTAAGCTAGAGTTGTTTTGGTGACTATAGTGTCCCTTTAAGTCCATAGTGTGTATTGACCAAAATGTTCCAAAAGGAAAGATGTTCATACCCAGGGGAAACAGTAAGACCCACAACCGTGCAGATGGACCGTGGTCTCTGCACTTACAGCACAGGGGGTAGGGATGGTCGGTCCTGTCCCCCGGCAACAGGGCTGTTTAACCAAAGGGGAGACAGTCTGTCTCCCCCCCACAGCTGCATGGTGCTTTGTCCGAAGGGGAGACGATCAACAACCAGGCTCCCACCAGGCTACTTCCGTGGTAGTGCGGGCACCAGGGCAGAGTACCGCTGGTCTCTGTTCACTCAACTACCTACCAAGGCAGCCTACCAGTCCCCCACACAGCCGTGGTGAGGCACCTGGACATGGACAAGTTTCTCCCTTACTCAGGTGTAGTGACCATTTATTGTGGGTGGGCTGTACTGCAGGTTCTGTTTTGTGGGTTGGCTGCTGGACTAACCAGGGCACTGACCAGCAGAAGGTCAGATACCCTGTTAGTCTATTTGGAAAAGGGGAGAGATGTGACGAGACCAATCTCGCCACTGTGCATTGGAGGAGCCTGGTTGCCTGCCTGCTGCCTTTTGACTATGGACCGGCATTTAAATACTTTATTTTCCTATGCAGAAAGGTCTAATCCTGTATTTCTTCTCTGACGTTCGGTAGATTCTCGGATTTACTGAATGAACTCATTTAACCCAGATAGCTATGCCATGGAGCCTATTCATGTAATAAAAGACTTTGGCTCCATGGCGATTGAACTGTATGTGTGTGGTCTGAGCGCCATTCAGTAATAATGTGCGCTCAGACCTAAGCTATCTGGGGATATGTTGCATGTCTGTATTTTATGTAATAAATGTAACCTTGTGTATTTTATTGTATTTTACTGCCATGTGCTTAATGGAGTTTTGCCTCTGTCCTTGGAGATAATTGGATTACTTCCCAATTATCTCCAGGATAGAAGACTCTGTGGAACTGGTTTTGGGCAGAAAAGCCATGCTTCATTTGGTCCCAAAGGACTTCGATCTATCTTTTGAACCAATGGACCAGTGTTGATATTTTGACATATGTTTGTATTTGGAGTATGCTGATTCTGAAAATGTAAGTTTTATGTCAATGTAATGCATACTTTTAAAGTTATGAATAATGTGGAAAAACTGTATTTCTCTGCCGGTGATAATTACATTACCCATTGTGTAAGGTAATTGTATCACAGGCAGAGGGGAGGATTTTGTGTTGGAGTGTCTGAGTGTATTGTATGTGTTTATTGGTTGTTATCCAAAACCCTGTGGGTGGTACTAATGTGTATATAAGAACAATAAACCCACAGCTCTGTCGGTCCACTGCTTGACCCTCAAAACAGAGCCTTGTCTCGTTCTTGGGGGGATTTATTGTATGCTGTTCCAGTTTGACTGCTAGGAGTGTAAACCTATTCGTATGGTTTTTCCTATTCGGCTGTTTACGGCATTCATATGGTTTCCTGTTCAGCGGATTGGTGTTCTGCAGTAGCTGTGCCTGAGTCTCTGGAAGGGAAGATCTTCTAAACAGCGGTTTAACCCTTTTATGCCTGGGGGTGCCGTTACATAAGCGAAATACTCACCCGGAGAACAGAACCCAAGATATCGGGGATCTCCTGCTCAGAGGAGCACTGCGTGGAAGGTCCAAGATGGCCGCGGAATTGTCCTCGGAGGAAGATTCTCCTCTAGATGCATTGGACGACATATCCACAATGGGAGGCCTGCACCACTCATCATCAGATGAGGAGGCCAATACTCGAGCTACAAAGAGGGATATCAAGTCCCTACTGAAGATTATATGCAACCTGCTCCACGCTGACCTGTCGATAATACGGGAGGACATCTACTCCCTTACAGATAGAGTCAGGGTGACTGAGGAAGAGACTATCGAGATCAAGACCAAACAGGTCACACTGCAGGAGTCCCACGCCAAGATGGTGCAGATCCAAGAGGGAATAGAAGCAATATTGGCAGAGCAGGATGACAAGAGTTACTGCAAAAACAAGTTTTGAAGCATTCAAGAGGAAGTGGATGCGGCCGAGCTACCGGAATACTTGGGCCGCCTGTTCCTGAACCTACTGCCGCCCAAGAAAGCTAAAGCCATAACACTAGATGGCTACTACCGCATACCAAAACCTTTGAGAAGACCAAGTTCTACCACACAAGATCTTATAGTGCAGTTTATATCCGCACTTGACAAGATGGCAGTCCTCTCTGCAGTGCGCTAAGCCTCCTCCTCCTTGGAGTTTGAGTTCCATACCCTCACTTTCTACACCAATTTCTCCAGAGCCAAGCTACAATGGAGACACAGCCTTCGTCCAGTCACCAGCATGCTTCGGGAACATGAGGTCCAATGACAGATGGGGCACTCCACGCTCCCTACAAGCTACCAAAGATGGCACCCTCCACAGGCTCACATAATACTGCGGTATTTTGGAGGGCTCTGGGCATTCCAGCAGTGACTCTGCAAAGCCGAGCAACACCAGGCCTTTCATTCCTGCACACAACAGATCACTGTCGACTAAGCCTGGCCCCAATTGCTGAATTGTAATGGCATCTGGTGACTTTCCCATTTGTTTTCTCCAGTTCCTTAACTTTCTGTGGCTCACAACTTAGTTTAATCTATGCCCTACCGATCAGGAACTGCAACAACATTCTTTATTATTTTTTTGTCATTTTGTTTTTTTATTGAGGTATGCATAGAGGAATACAAGAATACAAAATATAGTGTGTTCTTGAAGGAACTTAGTATGAAAACAGAATTGTATATTTATATAGTTCAAGCAGCTGTGAAAACACTCAGTGGATATCCCAAATTCCACAAAAAACAAGGTAGAAAAAAATAAACATTGTTTAGGTGATAAACCCCACCACCCAAACAAAAAACTAAGAGTGCAGCGCTAAAAAGTATCTTATAGTATCTTAAGTATAATGACCCTAAGGTTCACAGTGTTTAGAGCAAGCATGTCAAGCATGCGGCCCACAATGAATATTTTTGCAGCCCGTCTGCCCTGTACTTTTCGAAATAAACCTACGTTTCTATGAAAACTGACACTTTTGTTTTTTTTGCAGCCCACATAAACGTAAATCTTGTTTATTTGGCCCGTCTTAGCCTTTGAGTTTGACATGCTTGGCTTAGAGCATACATCGATAAAAAGGCTCTAACAATAGTGAGTTTCACTGTATACGGATTTATTAGATTTTTTGGGATTTTGAATTTCATCATATCATATTGCACTATTTGTGCATATCTGCATTTCTCTTACATGTTAACTCCCCAACCTGCCAGCCTCGATGCAATGTGCAAAGCAGAGTGGGGCCTTGATATCCTGCGGTACTCTGAAGTGCTGCATACCACTGTCTTCATGTGTGATCCTCACTCCGTTTGGGTTCAGTCAGGAATGTGGTTCACGGTTCGTGATGTGCCAGATATAGCTTTTGCCATCTTGCGGTGTTGCTTGCCTTGTCTGCATTTTTCTTGCCAGACTTTTTACTGTAGCCCGTGTCTTGGGTGGGGCAGCACAGAAGATCTCTGGGGTAAGTAGTCATGCTGCACCTGTCGAGCAGGAAATCGTTGCTGGTATGTCAGCTTCTGCCAAAAATCAGCAAAGATTTTGACAAGCTTGGATATAGAGGAGCACATGGCATCCGCCATTACAGGCAAGTCTCTGTGATACCCCACTGGCATCTCCACAGTTTGGTGGCATATCAGGTAAGGCCCCCAAGGTCCAAAGGAGGGGGAATGAGGTGGGCAGATGTAATTGCCATGCCAGGCTAGTTAGAGGAGAGCGGCCATCCCTCCTGCATCATATCAGCAAGTAGGCCACAGACACTGTAAGATTGCATGTATGTAAGATGGGGCTGCGTGTTTAGTATAATTATGTTCCCAAGGCATTCCCCAGTCAGGGACACCTGGTTAAATGTATATGGATCAGTTGTAGTCATTGATTATGTCGATTAAGTTGATCTATACAAGAGAGCTGCAGCCCTAAGCTTCCTCAGTGTTTTGCAGGCATGCCCCGCCCCCGCAACAATATTCGTATTATATATATAGAATATATACACATACACTGCTCAAAAAAATAAAGGGAACACTTAAACAACACAATGTAACTCCAAGTCAATCACACTTATGTGAAATCAAACTGTCCACTTGGGAAGCAACACTGAGTGACAATCAATTTCACATGCTGTTGTGCAAATGGGATAGACAAAAGGTGGACACAGGTGGAAATTATAGGCAATTAGCAAGACACCCACAATAAAGGAGTGGTTTTGCAGGTGGTGACCATAGACCACTTCTCAGTTCCTATGCTTCCTGGCTGATGTTTTGGTCACTTTTGAATGCTGGTGGTGCTTTCACTCTAGTAGTAGCATGAGACGGATTCTACAACCCACACAAGTGGCTCAGGTAGTGCAGCTCATCCAGGATGGCACATCAATACAAGCTGTGGCAAGAAGGTTTGCTGTGTCTATCAGCGTAGTGTCCAGAGCATGAAGGCGCTACCAGGAGACAGGCCAGTACATCAGGAGATGTGGAGGAGGCCGTAGGAGGGCAACAACCCAGCAGCAGGACTGCTACCTCCGCCTTTGTGCAAAGAAGAATAGGAGGAGCACTGCCAGAGCCCTGCAAAATGACCTCCAGCAGGCCACAAATGTGCATGTGTCTGCTCAAACGGTCAGAAAAAGACTCCATGAGGGTGGTATGAGGGCCCGACGTCCACAAGTGGGGGTTGTGCTTACAGCCCAACACCGTGCAGGACGTTTGGCATTTGCCAGAGAACACCAAGAGTGGCAAATTCGCCACTGGTGCCCTGTGCTCTTCACAGATGAAAGCAGGTTCACACTGAGCACGTGACAGACGTGACAGAGTCTGGAGTCACCGTGGAGAACGTTCTGCTGCCTGCAACATCCTCCAGCATGACCGGTTTGGCAGTGGGTCAGTAATGGTGTGGGGTGGCATTTCTTGGGGGGGCCACACAGCCCTCCATGTGCTCGCCAGAGGTAGCCTGACTTCCATTAGGTTCCGAGATGAGATCCTCAGACCCCTTGTGAGACCATATGCGGGTGCGGTTGGCCCTGGGTTCCTCCTAATGCAAGACAATACTAGACCTCATGTGGCTGGAGTGTGTCAGCAGTTCCTGCAAGACGAAAGGCATTGATGCTATGGACTGGCCCGCTTTCCCTGACCTGAATCCAATTGAGCACATCTGGGACATCATGTCTTGCTCCATCCACCAACATCACGTTGCACCACAGACTGTCCAGGAGTTGGAGGAGGCTTTAGTCCAGGTCTGGGAGGAGATCCCTCAGGAGACCATCCGCCACCTCATCAGGAGCACGCACAGGCATTGTAGGGAGGTCATACAGGCACGTGGATGCCACACACACTACAGTGCCTCATGATGTAGCGTAACTTCCCATCAGGAATAACAACTTAGGATATTTGTGAGAACTTGGGTAGGCATTTATAAAAATGCTAGTCAAACCACGACTGCGGGTAGTGAGCGGCCGGCCATCAGAATCAGCCACACTGCATTAAGCATATAGGTTCTCATGCAATGGTGCACCTCAAGTCCAAGATCACAGGACCCAAGGACACTTACAAATTTATTTTTTTCATTTAATTTAGTCTTTTTTATAATTATTTTCTTTCCTTTCCAATCAGCCATACATTTGGCATCCACCGCAACACCACTCTCAATGGTAATAACACTCACTCCTAGGGCAACAGCATTAGCCCTGCTTTGACCTTTCTTGTTTATCCCCCTACGTTAACGTTACAGCATTTCTATAACATACATTTATAAATATAACTGTAAAAAAATATTTAAATGAAAAGGATTGTGCCCTAGACATTAACAGAGCTATTTGCTTAACTATGGATGTAAAAGAAAAATGGAGGAAAAAATAATTAATCTAGAAAAATTATCTACCTCCGCTCTAGGCACAACTTGACAAATGTTGTCTCAGTTTTTGCAAACATTCTTAGTCTTGTCACACCCTCTGACCTCCCATAATCTTCCCCTTTTTCATAGTTTGTGTGCGGTGTGTGTCATGTATGTGCACTGTGTGAGTGGTATGTGCTCACTGTGTTTTATGTGTGTACCGCGGAGAGAACTGTCAGTGTATGGTGCATGTGTGGTTTATGTTGCCTGTTCGTCACGAGTGGTGTGTGCGAGCTGAATCTCGTGTGTGTGTGTGGAGTGTCCTGGCTATGTGTGTGCAGTGTGTGCTGGCTGTATGTGATGTGTGTACTGGCTATATGTAATGCTTTTGGTTTGTATTAGCTGGATGTATTCAATGTTTGTGTGTGGTGTGTGCAAGCTGTGACATTTATCTACTTTTGTATGTAATGTGTGTATGCTGGTTGTATGTAATGCATGTGTTGTGTGTCCTGGTTGTATATGACAAGTGTGTGTGTGATGTATGCTGGCTGTATGTATTGTTGGTTGTATGAGGCTGTGATACACTGACCAATACAAAACACACTGCACACCAACACACACACTACACATTCTCTGACACTCGCAAACAGCACAGATTGCATTCAGCTGCCTGTATGTGGTGTAGTATGCAGCCTGTTCCATGCTTTGTCTGCCCATTAACAGCATGACAGCCACCCGGATATGATGTCACAATGTCTGAGCTGGCAAGGTGAGTGGGGGGGAGGGAGGGAGGGAAAGTAGGAGGAGGGAATTACAAAATAATGGAGAAGATAGGGAGGGCTTCACTTAGGGAGGAAAAAGGATCGGGAGACCAGGGTCTTTTAAGCTCCTCCTAAAACCAGCCCATTTCTATGCTCGAAGTCCAACTATAAACCCTGATGTGTTCTATTGAATCTTTGATTCAACTGAGAGTAATATATATATATATATTATATATATATATATATATATATATATATATATATATATACACACACACACACACACACACACACACACACACACACACACATATGCATACAGAGAGAGAGAGAACCTATATTTATAAACCCCACACCTTTTGT